GATGATCTGATTGTCGACTCGCGAGCACCACAGGCCCCACCCCACAGGGATACCATGGGGTGGGGGGGGAGTGGGGGTGCGGCAGCCCTGCATCGTAGAAATGCACATGGCGATGCTTTTCGGGAAGCACGTGGGGCCGGATCAGGCGAGCTGCCGCCAATCACGGGTATCTGTAGACTGTAGACCTCGCTTACAAGGCTGAGGGACGGGAACCTAAACCCCATTGTTAGTTCCCTAGTTGCCCTGTCTCCAACCTGTGTTTCTGTCGAAGAAGAATAATTTCTTACCAACATAGGCACCCTTGTCTGGCCAGCCGAACAGTTAACCTCCCGTGCTGCTCGGTCTGGAAGCTATGTGAATCAACCGTTACGCAGCCCGACGGCCTTGTTGTCCTTTTTCTGCAGCCGCAACCTCAAGAGAGCGGCGTTTTGTCCTTGCAGTCATTGGCAAGGCAAAGTAATTATTCAATTGGTTATGACTTGTTGCTCCAAGCGAGGCACGACTGTGTGCCAGTCTGTCTCTCAGTCAGTCTGTCGGTATGTCTGTCGGTCTGTCTGTCTGTCTGTCTGTCTGTCGGTCTATGTGAGCTTGCCTTTCTTCGACTTTGATGATTTGGCCTTCTTGTTATTTCTGTTTCAGTACTTCCGCACTTTGGCTTCTCCATGACTCGTGAGGCTCATGCGAACCCAAAGACGGTTTACACAGACACACTGAGGGAACGGAACACTATCAACACAGACCCCACATCATGGACTGGCTTAGGATACATTGGATTCCAATAAATACTGTATCCCCCCGCTTTTTTGGTGGGCCTTGTGATGCTAGGGGGCCAAGACTTGAAGCTTGTGAAATGTGTCGAAGGGGGATGGGTGGGCCATCGCTGTCCAATCGCCAATGTGAGGCGCTGCAAGTCCGTCAAAACTCACAAAATTTGGAGGAGTCCTGTTCATCTTGTTTCAGCCGGCGGGGCAATAAGACGACGACCGTGCCAGTGCAGGACCGGGAGCGTGGTTTTCAGCTCCATTTCGCTGGTGCCAACGAGCAAAGGCTTGCCGAGGCTCGATGAGATGTCCACGCTTCAGTCTCAGATGGCAGTTGCTGTGGCAGGCCAGAAAGCGAGAGCTTCAGCCTTCCCACACGAAGGTGCGAAAGTCACGATGAATCCCTGTGATTTGGGGCGGACACTTGCGCACAGGAGGCCTAAGATACAAACGATTCAGCTGCAGGCACAGAGCCGAGGGCCCAAACCCGCCTGTTTTGCCAACGAAGCCTCCGCCCGTAGACCTAAAGGCTAGTTATAGTTGTTTCCCGGCACGTCCGGGCAAGAGAGAGAAGACGGGATCTGAAATGCGCTGCTCGCGCATGCATGCCTCCTGATTGGTTTCAGGAGTTCAGTGTTGCCGCTGAACCCTTGTAAGATCTCGCGCGCACCCCTGCAGTAGCCCCTCGCATAAAGCTTGAGATCACCACCTTGCATGTTCTTCGCACCTGGGTGTCTGGATGCCTTACGATGGTGTCTGGAAGCTGGAACCTCTCCAGCGACTCGCACGGGCAGGAGCAAGGCAGAAGCGAAGAGAACGGCGCCCAGCATCGCAGAAGCGAGAATTGCGCTCCTTTGCTCCAGGATTTGAATCGTCGTGCCAGGTTGCACTCGGGAAAGGAATGGCAAGTCCGGACGGTTGAGTTGCGGGGAAAGGACGAACTTCCACGGTCCGGCAGTGGCATACCTTCATGCACCGATTGTGTTGTAGAACTACTGACTTGTTCGCGACAGTCGATACACAGTTGCAGGTGCCACTGATGAAAGTGGGGCCAACTAGTTTTCGGCAGCATCTGGCTCGAGACTGCTTACCTCCCCTGTGTTGTTGACACACCGGCTGCTGTCGTCAAATCACACTGGGAATGCCGTCGGCAACTTGGATCGTCTACCGAGGATCGTGTTTTATCGTGATCATGTCCTTGGAACTCCTGAAAGTGCCATAACCCCAGCACGCAGGTCCCACAACGCAGCCTGGGCCTCGCGTGTTACCGGAACGGAAGAAAGGCTCCTTGAAGCATCGAGATGTCTCCGAGGTCGTCGCCGCAACTGCAGACGAGGTCACCACTGCCTTGAATCGATTCTGCTCCGTAGTGATCGCCGTGCACTAAGAAGTTCCCACTGTTTAGAGTTCATATCCGCAGCATGCTCAACGCTCAAGGCTTGTATGCAATGATGTCATATCTGAGGACGCACACGTGGGACCCAGCCTAGAGGCGTTGGGTTGCACCGCGCAGCTTTCGAAGCACAAAAGTATGTGCTGGCAGGATCTTGGTGGTCAGGTTCGGAATCTGGGGATGAACTTGGAGAGGCTGTCCGACAAGGCTCTGCTTGAAATGAGAAGCGAGTACGGGCATAGAGCCCTGTGTACATTTGGTGCCATGCAGTTGGCCTGACGACTTCTGGCAAACGCGCTCGCGCTTTTGCAGGTTTCCAGTCTTGAAGCGCTGCTTCAGGAGAAGGCCGCGTACATTCCGCGTTTTGCACAGACTTGTTGTGCAAGCGCCAAGAAGTGTTAGGGCCAGCAGCTGGAGCACAAGCTGGCACCACTGGCTTTCCCGTACAGACAACACGATGCCCGACCTTTGTCGAGCAGTGACTCAGATCACAGATGAGTCTAGGATTTCTGGCCAGGCCGATCAGCAAGAGAAGGTGCATTCCATCGAAAAGGCCGGGCAGCACGCAAACCACATGGTCGGAACGTGGATTATATGCGTGCGCGAGGCCACAGGAGATCGCATCACACAGTTCCTTGCCGGCACAAGTGTTTCGGCTAGCATGCAACAGCTCGCAGACCGCAGGTTGCAAAAGATTGTGAGCTCCATTCATGATGAGCAAAGTCGATTCGACAGGGCTCGGGCTGAGCAGGCTCGAAACAGGGTGCTGTATGTTGAAGTGAAGGTTGCGCAAGATGTCAGATCCAATCCGAAGAATCCTCCGAATGGGCCACTGAATGTGTGACATGAGACGGGCCTGGACGGACCTTTAAGTCTTAAGTTTTTAGTCATTGAAATGCTGCAGACTGTCACCAACAGATGTCCCGCAGCCCGCCGTGACTCTAGTTTGGGTAGAAGATCCTGGGCACTGGTTTGGACAGCCGCGTCCTTGCAGGATCAACTGTTGGAAAGCATCAACATGTCTGCCATGGATGCTGGCTCGCGCGCCCGGCCTTCAGGAATAGAGCGACTACTGCAACTAGCGAATACTAACCACAGTGACCTGCGGCAACAGCAGAAATGCTCCCTTGAGACCACAACGGTCAGGCTTCTTCGGCAGAGCAGAATATACGAGCTGGCCAGGTGCCTAGCATCAGATCCCGAGGAAAAAGCGGCCGCATCGGTCCTCCAGCAGATACAAGGATCTTGAGACGCACAAGTCGGTGACTGTCAACTGCATTCTGTCCAACTGTGTTTCTCTCAATTCATTGGCTGTTCTGTTTGGGTTTGTTTGCTTCTTGGATGTGAGTTCCGCAGGGTTGCTTCCTTGTGGCTGATTGCGAATTATTGTACTGTAATGGATTGCGCCGTGCGGCCCGCTTATCTGGGCTTCAAGCGCAGCAATGGAAGTCGACGTTAAACCTGGCCGGCGCTTTCCTTCGAAGTCAACTCTGATTCTTCCGCCCTGGTTTTATCAAGCACAAGCTGGCTGCACAAGCTTGTGCCCTCAATGCTCTGCCGCGCGTCCCAAGGCATGGAGCAGCTTCAAAAGGTGGAAGCCGGCGCCTGTCCGTGCGAGTAAGCCTGAGTAAGAGAGTGCGGCTTGAATCTGGGAATCTGGTGACTCAAGGCCATGACATCACGGCTGGAGAAAAAGCTCGACGGAATGGAACAGGCCTCCTTCAACGGCTGGAGATGCCGACGGAAACCGTCTCATGCATCATGGAAGGAAGTCGCCTCAAAAGCGGGGAGTTTGGAGCATCAGCAGGTGAAGGACTGCGGAGACTCGTTTCTGCAGCCGCATTCCGACTCTAGGTGTCTGCATCTGCGAACCTGGCAGGTCTGCCTGTCAAGCGTCCAAGAGTCGATGGCTGGACTCGTCCGTGACATTCAGGACAAGGTCTGGAGATGGGCCAGTGAGGTGATGTTGCTTTGAGTGTTCGTGGGTCTGGCTTGAAGGCGTCCGCACCACAGGCCCGTCTGCTTCTGTGGTGCGTGATGATGTTCAAGCCATAGCATGCTCGGAGATGTCGAGATGCCTGCTACCAACTCCTCGCCAGGTCCAACAGCAAAAGACGCTTCTCATGAGCTTGGAGGCAGCACAGCATGAAGCGCGAGGGACCCGAAGTCTCCGGGCTGTGTTGGAGATGTTGGCCAGGCACAATTTTCGGACCTCGGGCGACAGTTGCACGACAAAGCCACGTCCAGTCAGGTCTGGCCTTCACCTGGGGTTGAGCGGGCTGCAAACAGACGCGCTCTGCTGTGTTGAACGTTTCAGGCCCAGCAACTCAAGGCCGCCCTGGAGGCTTTGCAGGGAAGCGCCTGGCACTCGGCTCTCTTGAAGCGGCCCGCTGTCAAGATCTGTCAAGTAGTGAAGACTTCGTGGCTGCGCCGAGGTTGCCAGTCTTGATGCCGAGGCACTGTGTGTTGCAATGCATGCACATGCATGCACCATCCAAGTGCATTTAGGGTTCGAATCGACAGCACAGCAGATACAGCAGCATACGAAGCCACCTACACATCCTGACTCGTGCTGAAATCCTTGGCAATTTTTCTGCACCGCTGTTTCAGCCCTCGTGCTAAATGTTGCTGTCCGGGTGCTTGGCATGGCGGTTAGGTCCAGTGCAGAGCAACTGCCGACGCACTTCAACAGCAGCTGCCTCGATCTTGCACACTGTCCCAGAGCAGAGGAAGCTGCACGTGTTTTGTGCACAAATGGCAGCATCCAGCTAGGATGGCTTCATCAGTGTCGGTGACGGCACAGAAGATCACCTCGCCAGATCCTTGTATATCGCATACCACAAGAGCATGCGCAGGGCACATGATGTAGCTTCTGCAAACACAGACCAGGGAGGTGCTTCCATGAACATTTCGAACTGCCAGGACTGTTCGTAGCGGTACCATCGCCGAACAAGAGCATCAAACATTGATTGCCTTTGACACAGCAGAGGTCAGCACCACTCTGAACTTCCATGAACTTCCCATGTCTGCCACGCTAGCAAACCCGGCGAAACCCCTTCATTTCTCAAGAAACTGAACTGGGCAGCAGTTGGAACCTTGAGGTTCGTTGCTGCTTGGTTTAATGTTCAGCTTGGCCAGGTTCGAGCAGACATTGCACAGCAAAGTGGACACGGCACAGCTCGACCAACTTGCGGACGTCGTCGCAGTCGTGCAGGTCCGTGCCTTCGCTTGATCTTGGAATGTCTAGCCAGCGCACGGCCCACGCGCCATGATGCGCCATGGACCAGGCCAAAGTCCCGGGACTGGAGCAAGACTTGCGCTGCGGTGAGCCTTCAGTCACTGCGAGCGTGCGAGCTGCCGCATGGCCACATGTGGAGGCGCAGGTCGGATCGAAGAACTGGAGGCCGTTGTATCAGGGCCTCAAGCTTACTTGTCGTGCGTGGGAGACCCTGCGCAGTTGGCTTTTCTGCTTGCCAAGGTGTCAGAAGAAAACATCCCAGACAGAGGCACAGCTCCAGAACAAGGTGCAGGGCTTAGGCCCTCTCGGCTGCTTCTGGCGTCTGTTTGCTGGGTGGTACGTCAGGTAGATGTGAAGCAGCTGCAGCAGACCGAGAACAGCTTGGCGACACTTCAAAACCATGTTGCACAAGCCAGGGTCTTGTGGTGGTTGCAGTGCATGCCTTTGCTTCCGTTGACACTGAGTGCTACAGGTTCAGCAATGCTTGGGGGAGAAGGCTCTCACGATGATGCTTAGCATTCGATGCTCTTGTGTGCTCTCGTTTGACATGCCTACGTCTCTTCATGGTCAGGCCGGTACATCAGCCCTGCAAGGCGTCGAGAGTTGTAAGAAGACTAGCCTTGAACATCGCCTCTGCTAGGCGTCAAGTCCAGCCTTGGGGCCTTGGAGGGCAAACTGGGCGAGTTCGAGCAATCCATGCAGGACCGGATGCTGGAAGTGTAGGCGATTGGAGCTTGTCTCTGCTGCGCAGGCTTGAAGGTAGGATCTCACGGGGAATCTTAGGGGTACTTAGAAATAATTTTTAATCTTTGGTTACTATAAACCCTAAGAAGCAGCTAAAATTATAATTTTTGCTAGGGGTCTAAGTTCAGTATAGGAATAACCGACGCGATAGAGCTTCTCCCCATCTCTGCTCCCTCTGACTCTGCAGTTCTTTTGCAAAGAGCAGCTGCAAGCGCTTTCGACAGAAGATACAGCAGCCAAAGCCTTGTGGAGCTTTGGATTGGTCTTGGCAGGAGAAAGCTGGCAACAACAACCTTCAGCAGCTGAAGCAGGCACTTCACGGTGGATGCAAAGGCTGTGCCCTTGAGTACTTCCTCGATCATCCTCGATCCATCGCAGGCTTTATCGATGGTGGAAACGAAGCTGTCTGGCGTGGATCAGGCGAATGGCAGAGTTTGTCTGCATCCGTAAAGTAGTCGTTATGATTCGCTGACGCCAACAGCGCACAGCTTTCGGGAGCCAGAAGACTACGTCGAACAGCAACGGCACTGAAACCAATGAGTGAGTGGGCCTTCAAGTTGATTTGAAAATACCAGTGCTGGCCAAGTCGCAGGGCTCAGTTTTCAGGCCTGCACTGTGCGCGTGAGACCCCGGGAGAATCGGACGTTGCAACAGCCACATTGTGTCGCGTGCAAGTCTCCAAAGCCGCTCTGTCCGCCTGGATTAGGCGGTTCATGAAAAAGTTGGGGCTGGTCAAATGCAGCAGCTGAAAAGCATTGTGCGAGCCGCTGAGACTTCGTAGATCCGGCGTTTGCTTCGAAGCTCCTAAGGCCGGGTCCAGTCTAGCCTTGTGTCTGAGGATGGGAATCCAGAACCAGGCCAACTCCTTGGAGCAGAGCTTGCATGACAAGGCCACGGCCTTCAGTCGATTGAATGTCTGCTACTAGGAGAGTGCCGAGTTTCCGAGACATTCAGGTTGGTGCTGAGCAAATTCAGCAGCTGAAGGCGGCAGTGGCTGGGTCTCAGGCCAAGCACTTGGACCACTGATCGCCAGATGCACATGGCCATGGACTCTGCGACTTCAGGCGCAGGTTTCAAGCATTGAACAGCAGCTTCAAGAAAAGGCTAGCGCTGGTCAGCAGCCTTTCGCCCAGTGGCCCTTCTGTCTGTGATGTTCTTTGCATGGCCTGTGCTCAGCTCATGGTGACTCAGGCACCAGCTGGGACCTCGTTACGTTGACGAAGTGCCAGTAAACGGAGTATAATGAAGCCGGGGCAGATAGCTCTGCGAAGTGGCACGCTGGAGGCTAAAGACAACAATCACAACCTTGGAGGCAAAGCTGCTCAGTTGCGACCAGGCCAGACCTATATTGCCTTTCACGCGAAATCATGCGAACGCTTCTATTTTCCAGACACAACTAGTCTTCTCTGCTGATCCATGCTGGGAGCAGTTCAGGCACTTCAAGCAAAGGTGGATGGAGTGGCATCGCCCAGTCACTGTGGTCTTGCCAGTGGGAGTGTTGTGCCTGCGCTGTGCGCATGTTCTGCCATCAGGTTCAATGGAATCAGCTAAGTGACTCTGTTGGCGTTGTTCAGAACAAGGCAGAGGGAAAGCGCGACAGTGGCGTGCCTTCAGATAGAGACGAAATGATGGGCTTGCATGTGTCGCATTCCTCGCAGGTTTGCAACATTGAAAGAGGCGTTTGGGAAGGAATGGACTGCGTTCAAGTCGCCTGTCTTGATTAACCCCACTCGACATATCTCGACATACTAAAGCAACATCTGCTAAGTACACGAGGTCTTGTTGAGGCATCGGGTCCCTGGCCTCATAGCCCGCGAAACTGATCCTGATCTAGAGGTCCTGTGGGCGGGTTTCCCGGCGGCGGATGCATGAGACACGCAGACTGGGAAGGTGCCGAAAAGATCCGAGAAAGCAAGCGAGATTCAATTGAGGACACTTTCCTGTTTCCGGGCCTGTCTTGCCAGTTCTGTGGGGGTACGCCGCGATACGCCGAACAGAACGGAGAGGAGGATGGGGAGTGGAGAACGGATTGGAGGAGCGTGAAGGAAGGTGGGAGCTAGTCGAAGCCGATGCTAGTGAGGGAACATTCATCGACATAGGTAGGTACAACATAGATGCATAGATAGGACACCACGTGCCCAATCGATGCTGCACACCGGGTGGGCGGTGGGGGTTGCGGGAGGGTTGCCGGCGTTCAGGCTTCCCCCTTCCCCCCGTCCCCACGATTAAAACATAGAGCATTCTCCTGCTCGTCTGTTGCAAGGCTCAAGACATGTCTTGCAACCGCGACAGTCTTCGGCCCATTCGGCACTGCACGACCTTGCACTGTGTGAACCCATGTCACGGCCTAGAGCAATCCGCTACCACGTTTGGAGCTATTGTACGTCTTTTGGAAGTTTCAGTTGTGCCAGTTTTCTGTTGGAGTCTATCGCAGTTCCTGCAAAAAGACCACTGGACGTTTATTCGAAAGCAAGCCGACTTTACGAGATGAAGAGATGAGCACATTCCCACTGCCAACTGCCAGGCTCTGGAAGGGGCACTTACAAGCTTGAAGGGCCAAGCAGCAGCCATGGATCACAACATGCAGGTCCTCTATTGATCTCTGTCACTCAAGACTGTGCAGCAATCCTGTTGCAGGAGAAAGTGTCCATGGCAGAGTTTCAACGCTTGGGCGATGCCGTCTTGACTCTGAAGGGGAAGGCCCGGTGCCACGAGATGTCTTTGACTTCGGTACATTTGCCCAGTACGTACGCAGGGTTGCATGGAAACGCGAACGAAGGTCGGATCGCTGGAGCAGAATCTCCGAAAAGGTGCCGAGCATGTCACTGATGTGGAGGGCGCCGTGGTGGGCTTCGGGAAGCAGCTTGCAACTTTCAAGCAGGCAGGATCTGCGTTTCTTACGCGCGAGAGCTGCGACAGCACAAAAGAGAGCAGTGTTGTGCTGTAGCTGCTGTAGCAGAGTGCAGAGGCGTTCAGCGATTTGAGCCACTCTTCGCAGGCTCGACTGTTTGCAGCTTCTCTCATGTTTTGTGCATGTTCAGACGAGCTGCACAACAAAGGCGGTAGCAGCCAACACTCGAGCTGTGGAGGGTGTGGACAGATGTTGAGAGCTTCGCAGTTGCGGCACAGTTGGCATCTTGCGCCGAAGCGAGTCCATCGGACAAGAGAAAACAGCAAGATTCTAATATGTGGCACATGCTCTAGATTGGTTCGGCAATACGGTCGTGTGCATACTAGTGGACTTAGATTAATTGGCGACCACATTCTTGAAGGTCATTCTTGGTTCTGCTTGGCAAGTAAATCGTTCGAAGCATCGTGAAACCACTTACAGTATCTGAAGCAAAAGTAGCATTGCTGTTTCTCGTGTCTGCAGTATTCCGCAGTTCAGATTCTGTGAGCCACTGGGACTTCTGTGAGAAGTGGGATCGTCCTCCCAATTCCACATCCTGCCTCGCACAAGTCCACAATCCAACCTACTGACGTGGAGGCAAGAATGCTGACGCTTGATATTGACCATCTCCCAGGACTTGTCTAGGTAGACTGAGGACGCATTCTGCCAAGCAGCGACAGCCAGGAGACCGCAAGAGTCGGGCTCATCGCGATGCTCCGCGATCTCCATCTAGAAGCCGCAGCTGAGAGCCCGACATCAGTGAGTGGAGCCGTGCATGGAAACAGTAAGCACACTGTGCCACGACTTGCGCACCAACAGGCGCCTCAATTTATTTGCATGCTCTGAGACTGAATTCGTGACATATCCCAGGCGGTGCCACAGTGCCTGCACCTGCGGCTGTTGCTGTGTCTAGCAGCTAGGGCCTGGCGAGCATGCTGCCACAGCAAGCGCAAAGCATTTCAGGAATCGAAATGCACTCAGAACAAGCGACCCGAGCGATTGGGGAATGGCCAAGCAAAGAACTTCTCTGCTCTGGAATGAGCACGTTGCAAACTTGAAGTTGGTGTTGTTACTGCTGCGAGGATGGGGAAACCTACCGATCTTCTCCACATGACGCCAAGCCAAACAACAAGGCTCCAAAGAGTTGGCAGACTAGATTAGCTGATTAGCACACTTACAAGCACATGCTTCCAGCAGCTTGAGAAGTTTGTTCGAGATCAGATTCTGATAGGTCAGCAGGGATACACCAGTCGGCGAATTCCATGAGGAGCATGTGCTAACTTGTGGCTGGTTCGGCCTGATTTACGAAAACTATTTGACGCCACGGATGCAGAGGATGTGCCTGATGATTTGGAGGAGGCGCAAACAGAAATGTCCCGATGGGTCTCGAGTCAATCCGCTGTCATCATATCAGCGCTTGGAGCGAGGTCAGCAGGCCAAGCACCGGCGGCGCAAGCGCCGGCCTCGACCAGGACCGGTCCCTGAAGGAGACTGCCCTTGGAGTCTCTGTTGCTCACGCTTCGTGCCAGGACACAACGGGTGTCCTGCTCATGATGACTGGGGCAAGCGCAGATCAGCCTTGCCCTTGTTCTGCTCCAGCCGTGTGACTGCGCACTCTTGCAGCCAAGGCATGCCTAGGCCTAGCCAGTTGCTCTGCAGCACAGGCTCTCTCGCCTGCGTGATTCACTGATGGAGCAGCAGGCGAGTCCTGCCCCTCTCAGAACTGAACCGCAAGCAGCTGTGCGAGAGTTCTTTAGGTATTTCCTGTGCTGCTGGTGTGTGCTTGCAGTGCAGCACGCAGTTTGCTGACGTGCGGTTTGGCCCCATCTCATTTTCTGCAGCCGCATGACAACTCGGTTTCTTACCAAGGCTTGTTCTACGGATCTGTCATGGGAGGTTGAAGTAGAGCACATGAATCTGCCGGGAAGAAAATTGCGAAGTCAGTGGTGCCTACCTTGAAGGGGCTGGATGTCTTATGCAGCATATACATGACATGCCTGCAGCGTATCCTACTGTAGAGATTGCAGCCTGAATCCAGGAAGTTGCTTAGGGCCTAGACCATAGGAAAGGGCTTACTCGACCGCTTCTCGACAGCAACCTCTGCCCTCTTCTCCAAGATGGGTGAGCAGAGCCAGGCAGGCTAGAACTTCCAAAAGCGCCGGCCGTTTCTGCATGCCATGGCCTTGCCAATATGCAGGTGAACAACGAAGCGGATTCTGGTGTGCTCGTACACGACCTCGTCCGTGGCCTTGTCTCTTTGCAGTTCATTGTTCACATGCCTCCGTCTAGGTCTGCTCAGAGGAGCCGCAATCGCAAGAGATTGGCCCGCTTGCCAACATCAACGCGAGAGTCAGATGTGAGTCAGGTTGGAACACGCCGGAGCACTCAGCACTATACGGATCTGGTGCAGGGTTCCTGCACAGGTGAGGGTGTTACCACGTTGGCGAAATCCAGCTCAGCTGCGCACTCAAGCTCCACTCGTTTTGGCAACCTGTTTGTTGTGCTCGTGTTCGCTTTCATTGGAACTCAGGCACCGGACATGAAATCAACAATCCGCAGAACGCAGACATGTCTGAAGAGGCTAACGGAGTGGGAGTGCCGTGTTGTCTTCGTGAAAAGCACGGCAAAAGAGGAGTCCGTTTGAAGAGCCCCTGCCTTGGGCAAAGCCGGTCACTGACAAGTGGGGCTTCCCGAAGCCTCTTGCCAGCTATCCTCCAGTCCCTTGGCCTTGGCATTCGCAAACTCGTGCATGCATGAAGCCGTGAAACCTTAGAATTCTTTGTATTCTTAAGGCGGAGCCCTGGAACTGGAGGACCCTGAAGCCACATGTCACACGGCTGCTGTCATCATGTTCCCACAGTCGCAGGCACCACCTCCTGGGGATGAGCAACGATGGCGTTCCAAAGGTCGGGCTTGACTGCATTGTCGCGGTGCTTGTCCTGTAATGCCATTCGCGACAGGGCCGCCGGACTTACTTCTCGAAGCCTGAATCCCTAGCAGAGTTGAAGGAGGCATTGCGAAGCAACCCTTCGTCTCCGCCTTGGTTCATGCAGAGTTGTGGTTGCGAATGCTTTCATAGTCGAATGGCATTTGATCCCCAAGGATCAAGAATGCTGAAGGCATTCTTCAGAGACTTGAGCTAGGCGATCTTCCTCCGCGTCCCAGGCGAGGAGCTCCAAACTGGACCAGATCGTGTCCTCGATGATTTTTTTTTGCCAGGTCCTTTCTCACGGCAGATGCTGGTGCTCCGGTTTGTCCACAGAGACATGTGTTTGGTGGCACAATGCTGCGATCTCATTCTGTGCTGGCTTCTATCGTTGGCGAAGACGCGCCAAAAACTGCGGACACCAAGGTTAGATCGAGATGGAATGGGACGAACCTGGAACAGCCGCTGGCATGCAGGCATCTGAAGACCAAAGCCGCAGAAAACCTGGGCCCTCGGCCAAAGAGAAGTGCACGTGCAGCCAGGCATTGCAATGATCAACGAGCACTGCCATCCGCCTGGAGCTCGGTAGAGACCCACTGCTGTCAGCCGAGCAAAGCCATTGGCTTCTTCCCAAGTTCTGGAGGGACCACCGGACATACTTCACACAGCGCTCGTGTTTCGAGCGATCTCCATCGCAACAATATAGACGTTTCCTACATCAGGAGCCTTTGATGTTGCATGGCAAGATCTGGTGATATCTGTCTCAGTTCGACCTGTGCATTGTCTCGCTGTGGTGCTGTTTTCACCGCAGGAGCGGAAACCCGGCGAGTGGGTTTCAATCGACCAGAGGAGGTCGGTCTTGACACACTGATTTCTCGTCCGTTCGTAGCTGCAGCTGGACATCGTTTGAGGCCTGCACGGTTTCCTCCTTTGGGTGGCCTTCTGACTGGTCGCCGTGGGCTCAACCAGAAGCACGGACAGTTGTCGACCCTGTTGCCTCGCTGCTGCTGCTGTTGCTTTTGCTGTTGCT